AAGTATTTGGGAGCTTGTAGCTAATCCTTAAAAGATTTTAGGGTTACCTCTTCAGAAGGGGGAATGTTAGAGTAGCCAAAAGCCCCATCAAAATAAATAATCAAAGAAGAAGAAAGAGTACATGAAGTTATCAGGAAAAAGTGATGGGGAGATATGGGCGGAGTTGGAGGGGAGGAAGTGGGCATGGATTTGATCAAAACACCTTACATGCATGTATGAAATTCTCAGTCACTTATTTATGTAAAAGAATACTTAAAAAGAAAAAAAAAAGAAAAGCATGGGGAGGTCTTCTCCCCTGCAGCCGTTAGGGAGCCAATCAGTCACCCCAAACAGACGTGGGCACAGGTTGAAAAGCACAGCACTAGACGTTTTTCAGTCCTTCAGTAAAACAATACCTCCAATGTATGTAAATTTATGTGTAAATTGGATCTAGGCACTAACCTATCATATGCATTATAAATCAGAGACTTAGAAAAAGAACGACCTAAACTAAATGTAAGATTTAAAGTTTCCTTCCCACACCCCAAGGGAGCATCTTACAATCTCCGGTGCATGTGCCTCTTGTCCTGTGGGTGACACTTCCACACTGTGGGGCTTAAATAGGAGAAGGACTACTGACATTTCCAAAGTTGAGGATGGGTCCTACTCCTGGACTGCACGTCCTCACTACCAGCCTGCTCCCTATCAGAACACACATTAAACTGCCTTCATATCTTCTATTCCCACACAAAGTCATCTTGCATATCTATGTATTTACTTGCATAATACTTTTTCCCCCTCCTAGAATACAAGCTTCTTGAGAGCTCAAGTTATTCATTCCTAATTTCTCAGCACCGAGGACAAGGCCTGTCACATACTTGGTACTCATAAAATTCTTACTAATGAATGGAACCAAGTTTAGTTCCAGAAGTTGCATGGTGGCTCCAGGCTCCTAGTCCAGTACTTTCCTTTATGCCTAGTTCTCCACTCTTCTAGCAGGCAACAGAGCAGGTACCCTGTCACCCCCTTATAGGAAGCCAACAGTATCCTAGCAAAAAACTTCACTTTATAGACCTTCTACAGAAGAGGGAAGCCAAGAAGATTCTTTAATATAAAGCACAGAACCAAAATCCAAAACTTCAGACTTAAAATGTATATAATTCCAATATTTGAAGAGCATTTCATTTTCTTCTTAAATCATTTAAGCTCAACTATCATTTTACAAAGGAAAGCAATCATGCCAACAAAGTGAAGCTGTTCCAGTTTCTGTCCTGGGAATGAAATGGGCAAGATATGCAGGTACCTGATGGTTTTCCACATGTCAAAGCCATCCAGAGGCTTGGTGCCATTGGTGCTTCCCCCAGCCAGCTTCACCAAAGTCGGTAGCCAATCAGAGATATGGATGAGCTCCCGGTTCTTCACGCCCTTCTGTTTCAGTAAGGGGCTCGCCACAAAACTCACTCCTCGAATGCCTCCTTCCCACAGGCTCCATTTCCTTCCCCGAAGGGGCCAGTTATTGCCTCCAGCCAGAGTCTGCCCTCCATTGTCTGAAACATAGATAAGTCTTGGCATGAGGAGGTGAAAGAGGTCAGAGTCAAAATGGAGTCACTTATGGCAAGCCCTAACAATCAGAAATAATGATGGATGAAGGAGGGGCTGTCATCTACATTTGCCACAAGACAAGAACTACCTCAAAGAACTTTCCAGAATCACAATCTTACAAATAAAGTCATCATGACTCTACAGAAGAATGCTTGTACAAGGACATCTGTTCAACAACTGTTCAACCTTGGACTGGTGCTGTTGCTGTTACTGATTCCTGTGGTCAAGAATTATTGTTTCCAAAATAACTCATGCCACCTTCCTCTTTTCCTTTAAAAATACTCTGTGATGCCAACCTCTTCGAATGTGCTCATAGTTGCTATGGTAAACGTGTTCCCATTGCAGTGCTTTGCTGCTCTCACATAAACCCAGTATTGAAAATCTGTTTGGTATTTAGGTAAAAAATGACAAGGTTAATTCTTTTTTAAAAAGAATTTTTAAATTATATGCATGCGTACATGTGCATGCATGTATGTGTGTGTGTGTGTGTGTGTGTGTGTGTGTGTGTGTGTGTTTGTGTATAGTTTTGTACCCATAAGAACAGGTGCCTGCAGAGACCAGAAGAGGGTACCAGATCCTCTGGAGTTGGAATTACAGGCAGTTGTGAACTACCTGACATGGGTGCTGGGAACTGGACTCAGGTCTTCTACAAGTGCAGCAAGTGTTCTTAACTGCTGAGCCATCTCTCTAGCTTCCTAATATTAACTCTTAGATACATTCAAGAACAGAAGGTTTCCATGTACACTCTTGTTAAATGGCTCTTGATGGATACAGACAAAAACTCCTCTTCCCCTTTCCCCTACTAACTATTCTTTCTCCACTGGACACTGTCCTCCAGTACCCAGATATAAGCAGGGTTCAGCATAACACATATCTGATAAAAGACCTTTATTCCTCTATGGCTAGGGCCCCTGAACAAGGCAGTTCCCTGATAGTCTGCAGTGTGGACAGATGCTGTGCCAAGTCATGGATGAGTTTCAAGTGCCAGGGGACACAATGTACAGCACAGGAAAAGGAGCCTATGAGAGCTGAGGTTCACCTGGTTCATGACAAGAAAACCCCAGGGGAGTTTCACTTAGTGACTTAAAGCTCTTGCAAAGGAGGACAGCAGACCTTTTAAGATTCTTCTTGGGAAAAAAAAATTTTAACATTGAAATTGGTACCTGAATTATCAACCCACTGCCTGGTGATTTGAGCATTATCTTAAGTGTGAAAGTTAATGGCTTCTTCAGTGTCTCAAAGCAGCACAGTTGGGCGGCAAAAAAAATAAGTGCAAGAAATCTTCCTCCCTTCTTGACAGAATAGCAAGATAAAGCTTCATCAAGTGTCATGCCAGGGATGAACAAGCTTCTCTCCCTCCTCCAAGATGACAGAGGCATAAAGCACATTGGTGAAAACAGGGAAGAAATGACAAAAAAGAATGACCTTGGGTATCTCACTAGTCAGGTGAAGGCTCAGAGTTAAACATTAAGTTTGGACTATAGAAAAAAAGCAGTGAGGGGCTGGAGAGATGGCTCAGCGGTTAAGAACACTGGTTGTTCTTGCAGAAGACCCAGGTTCAAATCCCAGAACCCACATGGCAGCTAACAACTGTCCGTAACTCCAGTCCCAGGGGATCTAATGGACTCTTCTGTCCTCCACGGGCACTGCATGACACAAATGCACTCAACGTACACACAGGCAATACACTCATACACATAAAATAAAAACAATAAATAAAATATTTTTTAAAAAAGAAAAAAAGCAGTGATATTTCTTGTATATCAAAGTTGTAGAATTATATTAGCTTCCAAAGTATCCATATGCTAAAGTGATATTAGACACATATTTTATTTAGTTTTCGTAGTAATAATTCTTTCTAAAAATATTGCATGCATGTATGTAAGTGCACCCATGTTGGGCAGTGCTCTCGGAGATCAGAAGAGGGAGTTGAATTTCCCTGAACTGGAGCTACAGATGGTTGTTTGCTGCCATGTGGGTGCTGCCATGTGGGTCCTCTGTGGGAGCAGCCAGTGCTCTTAACCGCTGAGCAATCTCTCTAGCCCCTAGACACATATTTTGGTATTTAAAAATTTTTTATTGAGTTTTTGTGTATTTCATACAGAAAATCATCTTTATAGCCCCCCCTTCCCCTTTGGCACCCTCCCATACTGCCCCCTCACTGGAGTTCATACATTCTGTCATTTGTGTTAAGGCCTATCATGTAAAGTTAGTGTCCCCAGATGTCCCTCAGTGCAAGTTCATCCACTGGGATCTAGTCAGCCTATCTAGAGTCCCTCCCTTTAAGAAGATCAGCTCTTCCTCATCTAATAGTAATCATAACTGCCAATAATTCTTCAACTAAGATTGGGGACTGCTGTTCATTTCCACAGTTCTACGCTGGGTTTTTGTCTGCTTAAATTTGCATGGGTCTTGTGCATGCTGACACCATTGCTGTAAGTTCGTATGAGAAAAGTCCCAGCAGCCTGTAGGACTATTTCCCTGGCTCTTACAATCTTTCCACCTCCTCTTCTGTAATGGTCCCTGAGCCATAGGTAGGTGGATTTTGATATAGGAGTCCTGTCCAAGGACTCACACTCTGCAGACTCTTATTCTCTGCATTTTGGTCATTTGTGACCTTTTGCTTTCCTGGCCCTCTGTTGCATGAGGGAGCTTCATTGATGAGACTGGAAGACGCGTTAGTGTTCTCTTCGTCCTTTGTTAGTGTTAGGTGTAGAGGTTGCATATTTTACATATTTTAAACAACACTTTTTTGCATGAATATTATACTTGAACATTGTCTTTAAAAACCATCATTATCCAAGTGACCCACACAAGGACAGTATATTTTTTCTTATATGGGCATACATATAATAAAGTTCAGTTTAGGGACTAGAGGGACTAGAGAGATAGCTCAGTGGATACACTTCCTGCTCTTCAGTTCCCAGCACCCACATCAGGAGCCTCACAATTGCTTGTAACTCCAGTTTCAGGGGATCTGACACTCTCTTCGGGCCCTTGCAGATACCCACACACATGGCATACACTTACACAGACGTATACATACACATACACATAAATAAAAATAATTCTTAAAAATAAAGTTGTTTATAAATTAGGTACACTAAGACATCAACAATAACAATAAAATAGAACAATTATAATAAAATGTCATTAAAAAAGTTATATGAAATGGGTGTAGTGGCACATGCCAGTTGACTCAGCTGAGACAGGAGGATTCTTTGAGCTCAGGAGTTTGAGGGCAGTCTGGACAATACATAGAGACCCTATCTAAATAAGAAAAAAATTATGTGCCTGTGGTTTCTCTCTTGTATCTTACTGTACTATATGTTGGACAAAGGGATGAATTACATCCTTAGTAGAAGATCTTATCGCACTCTGTGGAAGAGGGCCCAGAAAGTCAAAGAGTAAATACAGGAGATTATAGTTTATAGTATAGGGTATGTTTGTAGGGAACAAGAACTCAAAATTATGAAGTATTAGCAGGGCATGGTGGTGCACACCTTTAATCCCAGTACTTGGGAGGCAGAGGCAGGTGGAGCTCTGTGAGTTCAAGGCCAACCTGGTCTACATAGTGAGTTCCGGGCCAACAGGGGTTACAGGGAGACCGTGTTACAAAATAAATAAATAAATAAGACCAAAAACTTTATGAAGTATTATCTCTACACCAGGCACCACCTGAATTTTACAGGCCTCAAAGTCTGAGGTAGCATTGAGCTGGACCTGAGACCTGCTGCTGGTGCTCACTGGCTGGGTGGCCTGGGACAATGTGCTACCTTGGTTTCCTCATCTTTACTGTGGAGACAATTCATCCTGTATCACAGCAAGAATGGCAGAGCTCCTAATGCCACCGGAGTGCTCAATAAGCAGAGATGACTGTTGTCACTCTTCACAGCCACTCAGTCTAGTCTGTAATTGTTTTACTGCTTATTTTTAAAAGGACTGAGGGCTGGAGAGATGGCTCAGTGGTTAAGGACACTGGTTGTTCTTGCAGAAGACCCGAGTTCAAATCCCAGCACCCACATGGCAGTTAACAACTGTCTGTATCTCCAGTTCCAGGGGATCCAACAGTCTCTTCTGTCCCCGATGGGCATTGCACAACACAGGTGCACTTACCTACATGTAGGCAATATATGCATAAACATAAATTAAAAATAATAAAATATTTTTAAAAAAGGACTGAAAACAACTGGAAAAGCCCCTACAGTGCCAACCTCTGATGTCACTAGTGCAGTGTGGCTTTCTAAAATGGCCTCACTTCCCTGGGAAAGCCACAAGCACCATAGGCACAGCAAAGAGCACACTCTTCCCATGAGACAGTGGGAGGAGAGTTACTTCCAGGGGTTTCCTTCTGTTCCTCTCAGGGAAGAAGTGCAAGGCTCTACTACCAAGGTAGTTTCCAGTGGGGCCTCTAACACATAGTTCCTTGTTCTTTTCTGTTCTTCATGAATGGGGGGTGTAGATGGGCCTTGGGCTAGGTTAGATAAGGCCAAGACTTCTTCAATATGTGGTTGGGTGACAGTGGATCTCATCATTTAATAACATTGACTTACAAGACACTTTCTTCAAACTTGACTGAATCTTTTTTAAAAGGAGTTGTTTAATTGTGTTGTGGTGTGTGTGTGTGTGTGTGTGTGTGTGTGTGTGTGTGTATTTATGTGTACAGGTGCCTGAAGAGGGTGCCAGATCCCCCCCTAGAACTGGAGTTATAGGCAATTGTGAGCTGCCCTGTGGGTGCTAGGAACTGAACCCTAGTCTTCTGCAAGAGCAGTAAACGCTCTTAACCTCTGAATCACCCTCCAGTACCACACGACATCTTTTGTTTTTGTTTTGTTTTTTTTTTTCACCAAAAACTCAAGGCCAAAGCACTCACCCAAGTTTATGAAATACACATTGCATGTCACTTTCAGTACTTCACAGATTATCTGTTATTTATAGTCAACAT